CTCTTAGTGTCTAGTGTTGCCTTTTAATCAGAGGAGTTAGTGAGGCATCTGGATGGCTCAGTTGGTCAAGCATCCAACTTCAGCTCAGATCATGATCTCACAGCTCATGAGTTTGAGCCCCAAGTGGAGCTCAGTGCTGACAGCTCAGAGCCTGGAGCCTGCTTCAGATTCTGTGTCTCCCTCTCTCTCTGGCCCTCCCCCACTGGTTAGTTTTCTCTCTCTCTCTCATTCTCTCTCTCTCTCAGAAATAAACATTAAAAAAATTAATCAGAGGAGTTAGTGATTAGGTTTTCCAGATACCAAGTGCAATTACAGGATAGCAAGTTAATATGCTGCATCAAATTAAAAACCTTATTCAGAGTTAGGGCATCAAATCAAAACTATTCAGAAACAAAAGGGACCATTTTCTAACTCAATAAATAAGTGACTAAAGCTTCTTTTTAAATATCTGGTTGGTGGGCACATTGGTTAAATTATCATTAAATGTTTTATACTAAATATTAAGATCGTGTATTTAAAAAGTTTAATTTTTTCTTTGTTAAGTAATATAGGTGTAATTTAAAGTTTTCAGTCCGGTGGTTAGAATTTTTTATTGCATTTTGATTGGATTGGTACAGGAAAGCTAGAGGGAATTTAAGCTTCACTTTAGGAATGAAATATTAGGTTAGGAGTCACCTACTCTATTTCTCACCCAAGCAAACATCTTTTCTAAAACACTCATTAGATGAACTTCTAATCTTTATTCAAACACTTCCACACTTCCAATGAAAACAAGCTCGCATACATTACAAGACAGCCCTTAATACTTCTGGATAATTGTGGATGATAGAAATTTCTTATTTGACCTGAAGTTTGCCTAATTCACACTTATAGGCCAGTATTTTCACTGTAAGTATATAAATCTTACTCTTGTACATGAAATCTCTTTAAATGTTTGAACAAACCTATTGGTTGTTACTGAATTATGCTTATCTAGAATAAATCACTTTGTTTCCTTTGCTAGATCCATAACATCTTGTATACTTTCTCAGGTATGTTCAAATGATTAATGCCCTTTAAAAATGTGTGCTTAGAGCTGATTACAGAACTACAATGTGGTGGACCCATTACAGAGAACAATAGGACTAGGGTCTTGCTTTGGACATCTGCTTCTAGCAAGAGTTTGGGATTATCTTAATATCTTTTTTGTCCTTATTTACTGTTGGCTTATTTTGACTGAAACTCTCAGACTTTTTATATTTTTTTAACTGCTTTTAAGCACATCTTAGCTTTGTGTTTTTGTGCAATTGGCTTTTCAAAAAATATTAAGGATTTAACTTTGTCATATTTGAAATAATTTATTCCATTTCAGAAAATCATTATCTATTTCAGTCTTAATCCTAGTCTTCAGTGGACATTATTCATTCATACCAATTTTAGCCATCCACAGGTTGGACAGGCATGCAGGCTTGTCTTCAGGTCATCTCTTGATACCAGTCTCCCTCTCCCTCTCCCTCTGCCTCTGCTTTAGTCACTCTAGCCTTTTTTTTATTGACTCAAACGTACAATGTTCCTTCCTCCATTACACGCTTTCTATAACTTCTGCCTGGAATGGCCTTTCCTTTCCATTCCTCTGTCCCTCTTCTTAAATCAAATGTTTGTGCATGACTTCCCTGACACAATACTACATCAAGCCTCCCTTTTATAGGCTTTTGTAGCATCCTGTACTTGTTTGGCTTAGTTCTTCTCATTTTAGAATTATGTATTTAATGGTGTGATTGTTGTCTCTTCCCCACTGTATCAAATGCTCCATCATGGCAAGAAACATGTTTCTTTCACTCACTGTTGTATCTCCATGGCCTTAAGAAGACCGTGGTAACACAGTGGCTTCCTAACACCTGTTTACCACCATTGGCTCCTAATGATATTTCACATGTTTAAATTAGAACAGGAAAAATAAGGACAATAGTGCACGTGTATATACGTAGTATACATCAGTGTGAAGTTCCTGCCTTCTTGGGAAAGACTTTTATTTATTTACTTAGTTATTTAAAATTTTTTTAACATTTTTATTTATTATTGAGAGACAGAGGATGAGCATGGGAGGGGCAGAGAGAGGAGGAGACACAGAATCCGAAGCAGGCTCCAGGCTCTGAGCTGTCAGCACAGAGCCCGACGTGGGGCTCAAATTCGTAAATGGCGGGATCATGACCTGAGCCAAAGTCGACGCTTAACCAACTAAGCCACCTAGGCGCCCCTGTTCTTCTAACTTTATATTACAAAACAAACAAACAAAACAACCCTGTAAGCTATGTGACTTTGTTACTTTAACCTCTCTTTGCTTGTTTCCATAACTATTCTATTTCTTCATCTATAAAATGGTTATTATGGGAATTTGAATGACTGAAGTCCTTTTTTTTCTTTTTAAGTTTATTTATTTTGAGAGAGAGAAAAGGGGAACCAGCGGGGGAGGGGCAGAGGGAGAGGGGGACAGAGGATCTGAAGCAGGCTCTTTGCTGTGAGCAAAGAGCCAGATGTGGGGCTCAAACTCACAAACTGTGAGATCATGACCCGAGTCGAAGTCGGGAGCCACCTAGGTCCCCCTGACTGAATTCCTGAATATATGTAGAGTGCTCAGAAGATTGTGTTACACAATGGAAGTGATCAAAAGTATTAGCTGCTTTTACTATTAGTAGTAGTAGTATTTGTGTTGAATAGGGATTTTCATATTAAGTGACAGACTAAGACAGCATAGACACTTTATTTTCTGTTTCAACCATATTCTCAGTACTTGATATTCTGATTAATCATTATTTACCAAAGAAAAAAACTTTGCAGAATAAACACATTCAACTCTTCTCTAGCCACAATTCATAGAATTACATCTTTCAAGACTTTAGAGTAATTATTAGATGTTTTGTGATTACAGGGGTGCCTGGGTGGCTCAGTCGGTTGGGTGTCCAACTTTGGCTCAGGTCATGATCTCACGGTTCGTGGATTCGAGCCCCGCATCAGGCTCTGTGCTGACAGCTCAGAGCCTGAGGCCTGCTTCGGATTCTGCGTCTCCCTCTCTCTCTGACACTCCCTTGCTTGCACTTGGTCTCTATCTCTCTCAAAAATAAATAAACATTAAAAAAAAGTTATAAATGTTTTGTGATTACATTTTTAAGTCATTTCAATAACTTATTGATCTATACTGCTAGTAGATTATTAAAGGAGTGATCCAGCCTTTCAACTAAAATATCACCTTCATACTTAGAAAACAAGTTATATAAACTTTAAGTTTAAAACACCTGGTGGGCACCTGCATGGCTCAGTTGGTTGAGCGTCTGACTTGAGCTCAGGTTATGATCTCATGGTTCTTGAGTTCGAGCCCCATGTTGGGCTCTGTGCAGACAGCTCAGAGTCTGGAGCCTGCTTTGGATTCCGTGTCTTCCTCTCTCTGCCCATCCCCTGCTCGTGCTCTCTCTCTCTCAAAAATAAATTAAAAAAAATTTTTTTTTAAACATTAAAACACCTGGAGAAGTTAGATAGCAAAAGTGCTATCTTTTCTAAGCAGAAAATGTGAGGTGGTTAAATTATCTAATATTTTAATTTTCTTAGGCTTTCAAGCCAAAAAAAAGTGTTTAATTTGCATATATTTTATAATTAAAAATTAAGTTGCATGTTTACAAATAAAGCATTTCAACAAATGTTATTTGGCTGATATAATTGTATCATGATTATGTATCTTGGTATATCAGTGATTAAAAATATGAGTACTAGAAAGTGAAATAAGAGAAGGATAAATATATGATTTCACTCACATGTGGAATTTAAGAAACAAAACAGATGAACATAGGGGAAGGGAAGGAAAAATAAGATAAAAACAGAGAGGGACGCAAACTATAAGAAATTCTTAAATACAGAGAACTGAAGGTTGCTGGAGGGGAGATGGGTAGGGGGATGAGCTAAATATGTGATGGGCATTGAGGAGGGCACTTATTGGGATGAGCATTGGTTGTTATATGTAAGTGGTGAATCACTAAATTCTACTCCTGAAACTGTTATTACACTATATGTTAACCTGGATTTAAATAAAATTTTAAAAAATAACTATGTTAGTATTTTACACTTGTGTGCTAAGCACTGGTGATGTATGGAAGTGTTGAATCACTATTTTGTACACCTGAAACTAATATTACACTGTATGTTAACTAGAATTTAAATAAAAACTTTAAAAAATATATGAGCACTAGAATCTGAAAAACATGAGTTCAAAGTTCACCTCGGTCACTTACCATTTAATTTTAGATAAGTTACTTAGCTCTACTTTCTTATCTGTAAAAATAAGAATATAATAATGCCTCGCCCTTAAGGTTGTTGTAAGAAATAAATGAGGTAATATATGGGAAGCTCTTAGGTAAGAGTCTGACGTGTGGTAAGTAGTCAGTAAATGTCCTTTGAAAATTATACGTATAAACAAGCTTCCTATTATATACAAGCACTTAAATGCCTCTGTGTGTGTGTGTGTGTATAATGTTTTTTTTTTTTTTTAATTTTATTGTTTATTTACTTATTTTGAGAGAGAGAGAGAGAGCACAGTCATGCACTCCCATCAGTCAGGGCTCAATCTCACAAATCATGAGATCATGACCTGAGCCAAAATCAAGAGTTGGAAACTTAACCAACTGAGCCACTCAGTTGTGATGGTTTTTGAGTTGACAAAATTATAGGAATTGGAAGTTCACCACCCTACCAATAACATAAGTGAATCTTGTTTTTTCATTTAGTTATATGATCTTAAAAATAGAAATATAAATCTTTACTTTAAAAATATAATTGTTTAAATAAATTCCACCTTAGACTTGTTTAAGTTTACTGAACCCTCACTTAAAGGTATTCCTAGTTTTTCTTATTTTCTTGAAGGGATGGGTATATTGCTGTTTTTATAGTATATATGAAAGTAATTTTTATATATATTTGACAGATAACTATGTGAAGCAACACTGTTTCTGGATTTCAAAAGACATCATTTCATCATGGGACAGCAAATTTCGGATCAGACACAGTTGGTTCTTAGCAAGTTACCAGAAAAAGTAGCAAAACATGTCATATTGGTTCGAGAAAGTGGCTCCTTAACTTATGAAGAATTTCTTGGGAGAGTAGCTGAACTTAATGATATGTAAGGCTTGCTCTTTTTCATTTTATTTTTCCTCCCTGACATATGCCCCATATGCCATGACTGTCTGAGAAGTAACCAGAAATATTGATTGGTAAGACTGAATGTTTTCAGCTGCAGCAGTTAGCAAATATTTATTGAGTGCCTACTACAAGATTTTCTATGTGGCTATTTTAAAATATATAACAGGAACAAAAGAGACCAAAGGAACTTAAAACTGGATTTTGAACATAGGCTTATAAATCAATTCTTGTTTGAAACACCTAAAGGTTTACATAAACAGAAGAGAGTAAGAATAAGCCAATTAGTCACTCTAGAGAAAGGTTCCGAGGATAGTCAAAGGGCAGTCAGGTTTCTATACATCAGCCAATTCATCTGGTTAATAAATAAATAAATCTGTGTTCACTGAGCATTATTTTTGCCATAGAAATACATAATAGTAATAATTCATTTGTCACCACTGAAGGACAAGGTATTTCATTTATTAATATTTTCTAATTAGCTAACATTTTTAAATCTCTTTAACTCTTGAATAGATTTCTAAGATGGAATTTAAATTTCTCTGCCTTTTTAAAGAGCACATCTAATAGAACTTTGCCTTTTCTTTGTGAATTTATTCTTTACAAAATTTTTTTTTAATGTTTCTTTATTTTTGAGAGAAAGCAAAAGAGACAGTGCAAGCAGGGGAGGAGCATAGAGAGAGGGAGACACAGAATCCCAAGCAGACTGCAGGCTCTGAACTGCCAACACGGAGCCCAATGCAGGGCTAGAACTCATGAACTGTGAGATCATGACCTGAGCCGAAGTCAGATGCTTAACCAACAAGCCACCCAGGCGCCCAGAGTTTATTCTTTATTGTATCAATTTTTATACTGATCTGTGTAGAAGCTATTAAAATACAGAGTCTACTGTTATCCAGTCATGAAGAATAAAGAATGTCTTAAACATTAAAGTTATCTTAGAAGTTAACATCTTTTAGAAACAATGGATTTCATTCATTTAATAAAAAAAAGAAATTCTGTACAGATATATGGATGGATCCTGTATGAATATACATATAAATGCATAGAAAATGAACTGTAAGTATGTATACAATGTTTCTGGGGAATTGCTGGAAATGGGGGGCAGTGAAGGGAGATTGTACATTTTACTGGGTATATTTACATGTTGTCTGATCTTTTATAATAAAAATATAGTCATAAAATTTTAGCCTTTTTCTTTTTTCCTTTTTTAGATTATATAGATGGTAGTATTTGAGGCATTACTTCTGGGACTGTATTCTTAAGGAGCAAAAATAGATTAAATTTAATAGAATAATAAATGGAATGCTTTTTTTTTTTTTTTAACTTTTTAAGAGCGAGAGCATGGGGGGGGGGTGGGAGGGAAGGGAGGGAGAGAGGGAGAATTCCAAGAGGGCTCCACGCCCAGTACGGAGCCCAACGTGAGGCTCAATCTCACAACCATGAGATCATGACCTGAGCTGAAACCAAGAGTCGAATGCTTAATTGACTGAGTCATCGAGGTGCCTGAGTGGAATGCTTTTTGGTGTTTATTGTTTTGACTCTTACGAAGAGTAATTGACATTTGCCATCCCTTTAGAGTCTCGGAATTTATGTACATAAACCATCTGTTCTATAAAATTTTACTCTTTGGTCTAAAGATACCAGATAAAATATGTCTTGTGAAAGCATCCACAGCTAAGCTTATTGTGTAATACAGAGGTGATGGTAAAGAATATCTTCCTTGTATTTACTTAGCACAGGATGTTCTGACTGGATTTGGTTCCTAAAACTAATTTATATGGGTCAGAGTTGGGCATTTCACAAGTGCAATGCTGTGTGAGAATTATAAAGTTAAACCTATACAAAAAGCATGGCTTAATAGCTAGAAAACAGCTGAGAGCTGGCACAGATGAATTTCTTTCACTAGCAGACTTTGTTACCTAGAACTAGTTGCTTTATTTTCGGTGGCTTCTATTTAACTCTACATCCTTTGGTTCTGAGTATGATATCCCCACTGGTGCTCAGAGAGAAATGTGACTAATGATAATACTTAGGTATCTTTGATCTGATATAATTTGGCATTAATGGGAAGATACTGAATTATCCTCTAAAGGTGTTATATTTTTATGTTAGAATCCTGTGGCCCTCAAAATTACTCTGCTAAAGGAAGAGAGCAAAGCTGTATTTAAGGTGTCTCAAATCATTTGCTTGATCCAGTCCCAAATTTAAAAAAAAAATTTTTTTTCAAAGAGGTGTGTGTTGCTTAAGTTAGGACTCAACCAAGAGCAAGATTTTTTTCTCACACTTTATGCATCTGAGGCAGTAGTCAAAATGCAGGTGGCTCATTCAGTTAAGCATCCAACTCTTGGTTTTGGCTCAGGTCATGATCTCACAGTTCATGAGACAGAGCCCTCATTCTGCTCCACTCTGACAGCATGGAGCCTGCTTGGGATTCTCTCTCTCGCTCTCTCTCTCTCTCTACCCCTCTTTCTTTCTCTCTCTCTCCCAAAATACATAAATAAACATAAGGGAAAAAAAATGTGGCTAAATGAAACCAGCTAAACTTTTTCTTTAAGTACCTGATTTCTTAGATGTGTTTTTTTCTAGACATCTTTGTTAGACATTAAAAAACCATTGAGATATGACATAAAAAGATCTATTATTCTGTCAGTGATGCTGTTGACGTTAAAAACTTAGTTGTATGTTTATAATCAAAACATTCTCTGTCCCTGTGTTTTAAGAATCTAATTATTACAATCATTGTTAGTTGTCTCTGTATTTTCTTCAGATTTTCTTCTATTTTAAAGTGTTTCTTGAATCTGATTTCATAGCTCCATTATTTTATAAGACTTTTCATAAAATTAACAAATGTGTTTGTCTCTTTTTAGAACTGCTAAAATGGTTTCTGGCCAGGGAAAACATCTTGTTTTTGAGGTACTCCCTCGGTCTGATTCCTCTGCCTTATGGAAAATGGTTGTACGGGTGATCTGTACCAAGGTGAGGACAACAGAGATTTCAAGCTCTGAACTTAAATTCTTTTGGTGGTTAGAGCCACGCTTAATCATGTAATACAGTATAGTAGAATTACATATTAATAACTTGCTAAAATTTTTTGGTTAAAATTACAAGGTTTTATTTTAAGGCAACTCATTTTCATCAAAGCAGTTTGCAATTTTTTTATTTTTTTTTAAATTTTCTAGTTCTCTCTGCTGAGGCATAATAGAAACCTTGTCATTTTTTTTTAACTTTTTTTAAGTTTAAAATTTATTAACATACAGTGCAGTATTGGTTTCAGGAATAGAATTTAATGATTCATGACTTACATACAACCCCCAATGCTCATCACAAGTGCCCTCCTTAAACTTTTTTTTTTAAGATTTATTTATTTTTGAGAGGGAAGGAGAGAAAGAGAGAGAGAGAGAGGAGGGGCAGAGAGAGAGGGAGACACAGAATCTGAATTAGACTCCAGGCTCTGAGCTGTCAGCAGTCTAACGCGGGGCTTGAACTCACAAACTACGAGATCATGACCTGAGCCGAAGCCGGATGCTCAACCGACTGAGCCACCCAGGCACTCCTCATATTTCTTAATCTTAAGCGACTGAAACACAATTGTGCTATAACCTTCGTATTTACAAAAAGACCTTGTCTTGACTGTTACTACCATGATTATCCTCAAATAATATTTAATTCATTATAAAAGCTAATCTAAATGATGTTTAAATGAAATTTTATGGAAATAATATTAGAAAAATTAATGGGTTAATTAAAATTATGGACTACAATGGCTATTAAGAAACTTCATGAGGGGCACCTGGGGTGCTCAGTCAGTTAAGTATCTGACTATTGGTTTTGGCTCAGGTCATGATCTCACAGTTTGTGATTTCTGGCCCTGCCTCAGGCTCTGTGCTGTCAGTACAGAGCCTTCTTGGGATTCTCTTTCTCTCCCTCTCTCTCTGGCCCTCCGCTGCTTGTACTCTCAGTCTTTCTCTGTCTCTTTCAAAATAAATAAATAAACTTTAAAAAAGGAACTTCATGAATTGTATTGTTTTTATCCATCTGAGCCTGCTTGGGATTCTCTTTCTTTCCATCTGCCCCCCTCTGTCTCTCTCAAAATAAATAAATAAACTTTAAAATAATAATAATAAAAGAATGTAAGCGAGGGTGGGGAGAGGTACAATCTGTAGGCCACTGGTTCCACTTTATACTAAATGAGTTTTTTTGCCAAAACAAAATAGCCTTCTGGGAAGAATTCAGCCACTTTTTCTTAGGATTTACTTTAGTGTAATTTTCTTTCTTTAGTTTGGAAGTTTTAGTGTAAAATAGAACTTAATATATTCAAGAAAGCAGTTGGTTGTTTCAGTTATAGTAGAATGGCATGTGGTTGTTGGATTCAAATAAATCTTTTAGTTAAGAAATTCGTTAAGAAGTTAAAAAGAATTGTCAATACTGGTCTCTGAAATTCATTTTTTAGGTCTGGGAAAGTCATCTGACAACATCAACTCTAAACAGGGTGATGCCTACAGGGTTATTTTGAGTATCAAATGAGATACATGTGTGCAAGTACTTTGACTTCCATAAATGTAGGAGACATGACATTTATTATTCATTTGCTCAGACAGACTTTTTCTCTCTTGTTAGGTAGTTTGCAAACCTTGAAAACTTTTATTTCCTAGGATGTTTGACTAAATATCTGTTCCCCCCCTCTTGGGAAAAATGATTAGAGAAGGGGGATGGATTAAATAGGTGATGAGGATTAAGGAGGGCACTTGCTGTGATGAGTACCAGGTGATGTATGTAAGTGATGAATCACTAAATTCTATACCTGAAACTAATATTACACTGCATGTTAACTAACTGGAATTTAAATAAAAACTTGAAAAAAAAATTGGTCAAAGAAATTATGAACTTTTTTTTTCATTTTCTTTGTATTTATAGATTAACAAAAGCACTGGCATCGTGGAAGCATCACGGATCATGAATTTGTACCAGTTTATTCAGCTTTATAAAGACATCACAAGTCAAGCATCAGGAGTATTGGCAATGAGCTCCACCTCTGAAGACCCTGATGAAAACTCATCATCTGTAACATCGTGTCAGGCTAGTCTTTGGATGGGAAGGTATACAGTGCATAAGTACCATGTTTCTCTTCTTTTCCAATATGCAAGCTGCTGAAATCTCAGTAATATTTGCTGGTGCTCTTTGTGATATCTTAAATCACATTACTTCTTATCTCAGCTGATCAGTTTTTGGATGTCTGGGCTTCAGGACATTAAGTGCCAAATTATAGAAAAATTAAAGTGACTCACACCAGGTAATGCTTCTATCAACCCAGTTTCCATGAATGCACTCTCCACTCTATATGCTTGCATTTAATGACAAAGGATATTAATATCTCTCTTATAACAGGAAAAAATGAAGTCAGCCAGAGTTTTCTTTGATGGCATTTGTTTACTCAGGCCTAATATATTATTGTTCTATTTAAACTTTCTTTTCCTTCTCTATAATGCTCTTTGCATGTGAAAGCTCCCACCTGTTGCCATTTGACAACCATGAACATAATTTAAATTTGTAAATGCCTCATTGGAAAAAGTCTTTGGTGGATCCAGACATGTTGACATCCTGTCTTATTGTCATACTGAATAGACAGCGAAAATCTGTATTGACAGTGTCTTTTACCTTAAAATGTTTAGCAAGAATTTCTCTTTTATTGCTTCTTTTACAGTTGCATTTTCTGGTCTGTTCTTAACCAACTGGTTTCCAAATACTATATTGTAGTAAAATTGTTATTTCCTTTTATCATTTGTTGTTTATAGGATTGTTTGGTTTTCTAGGTTTGGGCTGTACAAACATTACTGAAATGCCAAGTGAATTTTAGAGCATGACTGGCAATGTTTAGGCTTTTCTTTTCTGTATTTTGTTCTTGCTGTTGTTGTTTTAATGTTTATTCATTTTGGGAGAGAGAGACACAGAAAATGAGTGAGCAGGGAAGAGGCAAAGACAAGGGGAGAGAGAGAATCCCAAGCAGGTTCTGAGCTGGCAGGAGCCTGACACGGGGCTCAATCCCATGAACTGTGAGATCATGACCTGAGCTGAAATAGTCAGATACTTAACTGACTGAGCCACCCAGGCATCCCAACAAGGTCCATAATTTAAAGAGCTTTGTATCCTACATGGCAAATAAATCTTCTTTCGGTCGAATTCATTTATGTAAATGTGATATAATTGAAAGGACCTAATATGGGGGCGCCTGTATGGCTCAGTCCAACCTTGACTCAGGTCACGATCTTCCAGTTCATGAGTTTGAGCCCTAACCCCACATAGGGCTCTGAGCTGACAGCATGGAACCTGGAGACTGCTTCAGATTCTGTGTCTCCCTCTCTCTATGCCCCTCCCCCCCTCATGTGCACGAGCGCACGCACGCGCGCTCTCTCTGTCTCAAAAATAAATATTAAAAAAAATTTAAAAACAAAAGGGCCTATTATTTTCAGAAAGACCTGAGTATTTCCAGTTTTAGTTTATGTATTCTTTTTGATCATCACAGTGTTCATCTATTATCCAGTCTTTATGAAATTTGTCCCTCTTAGTACTTCTTCCCTAATGTTTGCTGTCCCTAAAAGTGTTGTTAATTTAGTCTTATTTTGCCTGAGTCATGTTTTGCTTCATGCTGAGGGCACACAGATGCTGATAATGCGTTCTAAGGCACTGGAGACAAAGTTTAAAGCACAATGACAGCAGAGAATATTGTTGCTCTAGCTCCGTTTTCACACTGCAGGGTGAAGCAGCTGACTGACGAGGAGGAGTGTTGTATCTGTATGGATGGTCGAGCTGACCTCATCCTGCCTTGTGCTCACAGCTTTTGTCAGAAGTGCATTGATAAATGGTAAGTTATCTGCTGCCTTCAAGGGATGGGCACAGATCAAATGGAAAAGTACATGAATAAACTTCAAAGGATACAAAAATAGTGTAGTTAAGTGTAAAAGATTTTGTTCTTTAGTACTTTGGATTGTATAACATGCTTCCTCTTCTGGTTAAAAACATTTTTATACTTTATGAAATGTGGCAGTGTATCTTAATTTTGGCATTTTACTTTTGCTGTAAGATTTGTGCCTGACTTGAGTCTAGAATCGCAAGCTTCCCTTTTTCTTCATTTTTGTCCTCATTTCTGTATTTTGCCTCTATATATCATTAAAAGGCGTAATATGAATCCTTGAATATTAGATTATTGGACCTGGAGGGAACTTTAGAGATCAGCTAGTCAAGCGCATTATTTTACAAAATAAAAATCAAGCATTTAGGTGACTATAACTGACGTACAATAAACTACATATATTTATAGTACAGTTTGGTGTTTTGACATATATACACCCATAAAAAATGTCATCACAATGAAAAAATTTATCCTCCCCAAATCACCGCAAAAGTTATTTTGTGCCCCACTGTAAAGTCTCCTTCCCAACACTTCCAGTCCCCAGACAACCACTAATCTGCTTTTAGTCATTATAAAATAATTTGGATTTTCTAGAATCTTTTTAAATGAAATTATATAACATGCACTCTTTTTTTTCATTCAATAGAATTATTTTCAGATTTATCCATGTTATAGCATGCTATCAGTAGTCCCCCCCCCCCACTACTTTTTTTCTGAGTAGTGTTCATTGTATGGTATACCACAGTTTACTTATCTATTCACCCATTATGGACATTGGATTGTTTCCAATTTTTAGGTATTGCAAATGAAGCTGCTATATATATTTGTAGACAAGTCTTTTTATGGACATGTATTTTGGGTGTCTCTTGGTTAAATACCTAGAAGTAGAATAGCTAGATCATATGGTGGGTATATGTTTAACCTTTTAAAGAAACTGCCTCCTGTTTTCCAAAAGTGGTTGTACCATTTTGAACTGCCACCAGCAGTATATGACAATTCTAGTTGCTCCACAACCTTGCCAGTACTTAGTATGGTCAGTTTTGTTTTTGTTTTTGTTTTTTGTTTTTTTGTTTTTTTAATTCCAGTGTTAACATCAGTGTTATATTAGTTTCAGCTGTATAATATAGTGATTCAGCAGTTCCATATATTACATAGTGCTCACCAAGAGAAGTGTATTTTTAATCCCCTTCACCTGTTTTACCCATCCCCTACTCTCCTCCCCTCTGGTAAGTACGGTCAGTCCTTTCATTTTAGCCATTCTAACAGATGTGTAGTGGTATCTCATTGCAGTTTTAGTTTGCATTTCCCTACTGATTGATGATGTTGAGCATCTTTCTATATGTTAATTTACCACCTGTCTGTCTTCTTTGGTGAAGTGCCCACACACATCTTTTGCCTACTTCTTTATTGGGTTGTTTTGGTATTAAGTTTTAGAGTTCTTTCTATATTATGAATACATATCAGATATTTGACTTGAAAATATTTTCTCCCACTTTGTGATTTGCCTTTTCATTCTCTTAAGAATGTCTTTGATAGAGTAGAAGTTTTTAATTTTGATGAGGTCCAATTATCAGTTTGTGATTTAAGCATAGTGATTTTAGTGTCATATCTAAGAAATCTGTCTAACCTAAGGTGACAAGGATTTTCCTCTGTTCTTTTGGAAGCTCTATAATTTTAGGTTTTACATTTATATCTATGATCCGTTTTGAGTTAATTTTTTGTATATGATGTGAGGTATTGATCAAAATTCTTTTTTTGCCTATGGCTATCTAGTTGCTTCAGCACATTTTGCTGAAAAGACTATCTTTCCTTCACTAATTGCCGCTTCACCTTTATTGTAAATCATTTGTTTAAATACACATGGGTCTATTTCAGGATTCTCTTCTGTTCCATTGATCTGTTTATTTCATAGCAATACCACACTACCTTAGTGTAGTAATGTACACTAATGTAGCTTTGAGTCTTAAAATCAGGGAATGTTAGTCCTTCAACTTTGTTCTTCTTTGTCAAAGTTGTTTTGCCTATTCTAGTTCTTTTGCATTTCAAAATGAGTTTTAGAGTCAACTGTCAATTTCTTCAAAAAAGCTATAAGGATTTTGGTTAAAATTGCATTAAATAAATAGACTGATTTGGCAAGTGTTGACTTCTTAACAACATTAAGTCTTCTAGTCCACAATCACAGTGTATTTCTCCATTTATTCAGCTCTTTCACTTGTCTCATCAATTTTTGTAGTTTTCAGTATTACAAATCTTTGATAGATTTATCTCTAATTATTTTGTATTTTAGGCTACTTTAAGAGTATTTTTTATTTCAATTTCTGATCATTTGTTGCTAGTATATAAAACTACAATAGATTTTTGTGTATTAATCCTTTATTCTACAACCTTACTAAACCCATTTATTAGTTCTGATAGCTTTTTTGTAGATTCCATAGAACGTTCTTGAGTGTCTGAACATCGTTTTTCAAAGATATTTTTTCTGGGTATAGAATTCTAGACTAATACTATTTTTTCTTTCAGGACTTTAATGATGTTGCTCTCACTCCACCCTCATTTTTATTGCATTGTTTCCTATGAGAAATATGCTATCACTCTTATCTTTTTTTCCTCTGTAGATAATATGCCTTTTTTTCCTCTGGCTGCTTTTAAGGGTTTTTTTTT